ACCTGCTGGAAACCGGGTCCAGCGTCCCTTACATTATGAAAATAAAGCAGAGGATAGCCCTATGCTGGAAACCGGGTCCAGCGTCCCATTCTTTCTGACTTTTCAATCCAATATTAAGGCCTGATCTATTTTACAACTGTTTGAAAAAAGAGTACTTGTAATCATGGGGAAGCCTCTTCAGCCCGAATTCTGGCCGCCTGTTGGGAAAAATTAATCCTTTTCCACTTCTTTGAAAAAACAGGGCCACCTCCGGCTCTCGCGGAAAGAGGTGGGATCTCAAAATTTACCAAAAAGTGCCTCGCCTATAAGAAGTGGGATCAGGCCCTAGTACCAAAAGAACCACATCCCCCATTAGAATGCCTATGGGTAGGTGACGGAACAAGAGCATTCCTCCGGATAACCGCGCCGCTAGCGCTAATCTGCGCTATGGACCGGCCGGCAAGGCCCGGCCGCACTCCGTGGACTGGCGCAGGGATGGTGATGTGCCATCACTGCGCTTGGTCATCCTGCTGCCCGTCCGGTGCTTCGGCCTGGGCGTAGATGGGGTTTTTCCACGTGGCAGTTTTAGGGGACGGCACGTCGGCGTGAAGAAATCAAGCTTCGAATAAGGACGTGGCGCGGGTGTTTGGGGAAGTGGGCTCAGACAACAAGAACAAGAGACAACAGTAACTTTGAGGACAAATGGCGGCCTCATCCATGGCTACTTCGACGGAGCAGATGGCAATGGAGGCGGTGTCTATGCACGATGCTATCGCTGCCGCTGCCCTTGGAGAGGAGGGAGCAGCGCTGGAGATTGTGCGGTTGTATAAGCGACAGATGGAGGAGCTCTACATTATGCTTATTCAACATCGACATAATCTATCGGCGGATCTTCTTGAGGAGGGCGAGGAGCTGGTCGCTGGTTGGGAGGAGGACCTCCATGCAGATCTCCCATCTCAACGGCAGGGCGCGACTGAAAATGAGCAGGTGATGGCGGAATTGGGTGGTTGTGCTGAAGTGATGACGAAAGTGAAAGGAATATTTGAGGAACTAAGGGAGGGGTTGTATGGGAGTACGAGGTGTGATGATGTGAAAGGGTGTTGCTGCGCAGGGCCTGAGGAGAGGCAGGTGTTGTGCGCTGCGACACAGGATCGTTCGTGCGAAGTGGAGATTGATACTCGGCGTGGAAGGCTCAAGGAGGGGCAGGGCTTTTGCGGCGAAATGTTGAAGAGTGACAACAACAACGCATGCACGATTGGCAGTTATGTCACCACCGACTCTACCATCGATTGCAATGACATCGTCGGCGACTATACCCSCAACGCCATCGACAACAACGATGATCGCTATTTTGGTGACGTGGCTTTTACCGGCGCTGACAATAACAACGGATATGATGCTGGCAACATCAGCGCCGGTAACAGTGACGACAACATCAGAGCTCATGACAACTACAACAACAACAACAACAACAACAACAACAACAACAACAACAGCGAAGAAGGTGATCGTTGTACATGCTCTCAAGACAGCCAGGGCGTCAGCAATGGTGACGTTGCTTTTACTGGCGCTGTCAATAACAACGGATATAGCGATGATAACATCAGGGATCATGACAACAACAACAACAACAACAACAACAACAACAACAACAACAACAACAACAACAACAACAACAACAACAACAACAACAACAACAACAACAATAACAGTGAAGAAGATGATCTTCATGCATGCTTTCAAGACAGCCACGGCGCCAGCAATGTAAGTAATAACTTCGATTCTGATGGGGGCGTTTGTAGAGCAGGGCAGGCTTTTCCCACGATCTTTGTTTTTTTTGGGACAGGTAAGCCTGCTGGGGGGGGGGCGTCTTTGGGCATGCTCATGATGACTTGGGGTTCCCCGAGTGGGCGGGTTAGGGTAGTGGTTTGGGACTTTCGGTGCGCGCGGAATATTGTGGATCTCTCACCATGGGATTCGGGTGGGGTTGGGGGGGAAGGGTTGGGGGCAGTGCTGTTGGGAAGGTCTCGCATGCAACTATGGGAATGTGGAATCAGCAAGAGTGGGGGTGGGATAGGAGGGATAAAGGGTGGTAAACTATAAAGGGGCCGCAGTGCATGCCTGGCAGTGTATGATGGGGGGTGGGATCAGGTGTGTTCGACCTGCGCTGTTTGGATGTTCCTTGCGGTCTTTACAATAATAGATCACGATATTAGATAGCCTCGTGGCGAGTATGACATAGAGTTGCGCCGAGTTTGACTTTTGCCACGTGGATTGGTGATTTGATCTGTTCCCTGGTTTGAAGGCCCCTCCCTCTCAAGGTCTGTTTAGTGCCGAAAGTTGTTTAGCTGTGTGACGAGGGTTTCAAAACTAGGTGATGATGTGGCGACTGTGGGGAGAAAGGTGGTGGTTCGGGGTCGTCAGGGGATTGGATTCTGGTACCCTGCTACCCTGATTTCATAGCTTTCTCCCCTTGTGGTGCCGTTGATTGAAATTCTAAAGTCCTGCTCTGATGACCTCTTCCCCTCATGGAGTTGCACGATCTACTTAGAAGAAACAGAGGGTTGCAGAGTAGAGAGGTGTTTTTTCCGACTATGACAGGCAGTCAATCCCCTCAGCCCTCAGTCGAGGGTAATCAATGCTGCTTAACGATATGGATGGAGCGTGCCATCGTGCTGGTTCGTTACTTTTCAGGGATCACAGTACGACGGACACGTGGCAAATAATATGACCTTTGACTGTTTACAGGGACGCTGGACCCGATTTCCAGCAGGTGATGCTCCCCACTAATAGATGGAGCCTCCCCGAGCTTGCTAGTGGTCTCTGCTCTTATCAGCACCCCTAGCAATTACTCGGGCTGTTTCTCTTAAAAAAAAAAAA